GGGGGGGGGGCTGTCGGGAGGAAGAGTCGGGAAGAAGAAGAGGATGAGGACGAGCAAAACACGTGGCTGATATCCTAATTTCCTTTCTTTTAAGTCCCTCAACTTTTAAAATTTTGACTATTAAGCCCCTAAATAATATTTTCCCTCATATAAGTCCCTTATTTAATGCTAAAATATCCCCAAAATTTTGGGATATTACATATAGTCAAAAGAAAGATGGGCACTTGGAGTACTTTGGGGCCAGAACATCTTTAATTTTTCTATTATTTTCAGATTTTTTATTACATTTTATTAAATTATAATTTGAAAAGATATTTCTGAAAATCAGATATGACTATTGGTAGTCAAAAGATACCTCTATGAAATGGTGTATTTTGGAGGGATACAAACATGACTATTGGCAGTCAAAAGGTACCTTTATGAAATGGTGTCTTTTAAAGGGATACATCTTTTCAGATAATGACTTTTCAGGCATTATAAATTCCTATGCAATGTTATATTTAATTTCTGAGAGAGTTTTGAATTCTGTTGTATTATGGAGGATTTTAAATCCTTAAAGAAAGTGAGATCATGTCTCAGAACAATTCTTTTATTCTTCTGCCATTTCTTTTTTCTTAACATGTTTTGGGATAAAACCATTTAAAAAATTTCCCACTATTGTTTTGAGTTTAGATAAAACGGAAATGTATTTTTTGAGCTGAAATTCCTAATTCTCAATCCTTGGGTTCTCTTGTGATACAGAGAGGAAGTTGGCTCTAGATAAGTTCATGGATACTGGTGACTTGTGAGTTGAAATTGATCTGAGAACGACTTTGGCTGGTTATTGAATTCCTTTTGAGTTTATTAGACCAAGCAGTGGGTTCACAATGATTGATGTGTCCATGGAAGCCTGACTCATTTTACAGTCTAATTATGGCTGGATTAAATTCTTTAACTATTGCTAACAGCAGCTCCGACTTTAATTCAGCACAGTTCTATGAACCATTGGCCAGAAAAACTATCTAGTTGAGATGTTTGCATATACATTAAGCCTGAATAATGGTCAGGGTACTTTACCATTCTAAGGTAGTGAGGTTCAAACAAGGAGTGGATGTGAATAAGAATGCAATAAGCTTGGCCATATAACATGACATGGTAATTGGAACAACACATCTTATGTTTGATACCAAAGCAATATTTGAGTGCTTTCTCAATGGTGTTTTGCAATCCCTTCTACTTAGCCGTAGATAATAATGCTATGAAATTGTGAGTTAGACAAAAAGAGAAGTAACTTGGACAGAAGTGACTTAGACAAGTCTTTTTTGTCGATAACCTCAGACCAATCAATCGAATATTGATTAATACGTAATCGATCGAACACTACTTGAAAACGGCTCTTCTGCTCAGAAACAAAATGTTCAAAATGCTCCTGGAAATTCTTGCTCCCGTTGGGCAAACTCACCTTTTTTGACTGCAATACTTCTCTCTTTTTCTTCTTTTTTACAAATTTAATTGACCTCATCCATTGAATATCAAATTGGCAGTTCCAACTGTGACTGACGCAATATGGCAGGCATTAGTACTCACGGCTGATAGACCGGTGCTGGTTTAGTTTTGGGCCCCCTTTTGTGGACCTTACAGCATGATCCATCCTGAGCTTGGTGAACTGGCCCAACAGCATGCTGGAAAACTCCAGTGCTTTAAAATGAAAACGGATGACAGCCCTTCAATTGCAACTCAGAATGTAGTTAGAAGTATCCCAACGGTCATGATCTTCATCAATGGTGAGAAGAAAGACGCGGTCATTGGTGCTGTCCCCAATGCCACGCTAACTGCGACCATTGACAAATTCTTGTAGTCAAGGACAGCGAAAGATATTATGCATTCTTTCCGCGCCTTTTCATGTTTTTTTCTGTTTTAACATGTGCTGTTGCGTTTTTTTACCGGGTCTTTAGCATAGTTTTTTGAAGCTTCTTCTTCTTTCTTTTGAATTGTACATATCCATATATCTTTCAATGTGACACATTAGAACTTCGTCAACGCTGAACTATTTATCTATGCTGAAAATTTGCTGCAACCAGCAGTTGTGATTATGAATGACTTGGAAGCAAGTCATGCAATTTTTTTCAATATGCGGTTGCAAGGCCGGAGTTAAAGTCATCAAGACCCGTATGGACCGGCTGGAGAGTCAAGACCCGCAAGGACCGGCTGAAGTCTTTTGCTCAAATTCTGTCAATCACTTGCTTGAAATTTAGACCTTTTGAATCTTGACTAGGTCTAGGTCTTCATTTGATATGAAAATTTTGCCCTATCAATTCTTAGCGCTGAAAGTATGTTTGTTCGGCTGAAACGAAACTTGACTAGGTCTAGATTCCTCTTTATGAGTTCCTTAACTACTGTTGATTGAGATGGAATTCAGGCGAGGTGCAGCATCCATGTTTCTCTCATTCAATGTTTTTATTCTTAAACTTTCAATCTATGGATTCATCTATTATAGACTGATGTGGTTTTGATCATTTGATGTTTGTTCAACTTCTTACAATATTCACTACTGGAAAACGCAGCATATTCGACAAGATTATATTCGACAGCCAAGTTCCTGACGAAAATGTAAATATAATCGACAGAAAGATTGACGAATATGTAAAATTGACGATCATAATGGAAACTTAGTATTTAATCGACATCATTTATATTCGGCAATGTTTCTGTCGAATATATTACATATTCAACACAAATTTGTCTGACGAATATGTTTATTCGACATGCAAAGGCTGTCGATTATGTATTCTAAATAATCCAACATCGTTTCCTCTGTATCTTCGGCAGCTTTGGCTGTCGAACATACTCGTTCATATCACCCCCGACTCTTCTTTCTTCCCCATTTTTGCTTCTCCCTCTGCGGTGGTAGATCTGGTTTCTTCTCCGGCGAAGCTTGCTGTCACTATTCTTCCATCGCACCCCTTGTTGTCGAAATCTCCGCTCCGTGCTGGTGCCAGTGAGTTGGCCTTTCTCCTGGTCGATTGATTGATTTATTTTTTCTTTTATTTTCCTTGGATTTACAGTCGGCACATTTGCATTGTTCCTTGTTGATCCGTGCCTTTTGGTCCAGCCTCCAGTGCCTCTAAGTCACCACGCCACCTGGAGGAGGTTCCCTGCAAGTTGCAGCACAAATTTTTTTTTTCTGTTTTTTGTTGTTGTTGGTTTTACTTGTTTTTTCCTTGGATTTGGGTTTACAATACCCAATTTTCGCTTTTTTTGTAGGTTGAAATCCAGCTTTTACTGGCCCCACAGCATCAACGTCTCCACTGTAGAGGTAATTGGAATTTTTGTGGTTTTTTTATATATAAATATACTGTTTTATTTGTAGATTAGGGTAGATTATTATTACTATTGCATGAATTATCAGTGAATTACAATTATTTTTTTCAAGTTGTTGAGATTGAGATTTGTACTTGGTTGAAGAGTTGTTTTTAGTAAATTTGTATATATAAAGTTAGGAATTTTGGATTATTGTGTTTGAGATTAAGGTTGTAATTGATATTGAAATTGATGTTTAAGTATCTATGGTTATTGAAGTTGAGTGATATTTATGTTGAGTTTTTATGGTTGACAATTTGTTATTTATTTCAAATTAGCTCGATCTGAGAGATTGATATTGAGATTGAGATGTGCGTTATTATTGAACTAAAATAATAGTTAGATTGAATTTTTATATATCAAATTCATTATAAAATTATGATTTCATTATTTACTTGATTGATAAGTATTGATTTTTTAAATAATTAATTGATTGATTAGAGAATCATGATTATATGCTTTAATTGTGAAATAATTAATAATTAATTACATTGTTAGCTAAATCATAATTAATTATAATGATTATAATTGTTTGATTAATTAAATCAAAATTACATATTTACTTGTTAAGTAAACTATGATTAATTAAATTAATTAATTAATAATAAAATTATTATGTGTTAAATGGATAGTCAAGATTATTTTTAGAGCAAAATAGACAGTTAAGATTACTTTGAGAGCAAAATGGACAGTCAACCGTACTTTGACAGCCAAATGGACAGTCAACCCTACTTTGACAGGCAATATGATGGTATAATTTGTTTTTCCTTTTCCCTCCCATAATTTTTTATTTCATGTTGGTGCATACCATTTACTAACATATTACTTAATTTTATGTTAATTTATATAGGAATTGTTGAGGATACTCCTGAATCATTATGGAATTGTCCATCTCGGAGTCCTCCAAGGAAAAAGTTGACAAAAGCACAATATGATGGTATAAGTTTTTTTTTTTCATTTTCCCTCACACAATTTTTTATTTTATGTTGGTGCATACCATTTATTAACATATTACTTAATTTTATGTTAATTTACATAGGAATTGTTGAGGATACTCCTGAATCATTATGGGATTGTCCATCTCGAAGTCCTCCAACAAAGAAGTTGACAACATCAAGGAATCATATTGCAATGCCCCAAGATATTCCATTACCTAAAAATGAAGACAACTTTGTCTATCAAATATGTGATATTCCTGGACATTTAGCTACTATATGCCCGCAACAATATAAAGTAACTTGTCAACTGTGTAACTGTGAGGGTCACACAGCAAAAGTTTGCCCAGATCGTTACCGATCAAAAATTGCATCAGACCCATCCATAACACCTACTGAGTCCTCTAAAACTATTACAAAGATTTTTGGTAATAGTCGTTGGCGTCTTACATTTACAAAAAAGTCTTGGGATGAGGCATGTAAAAAATTACGTTCTATTCAAGAACCGTAGTATCTTTACCTTACTTACCTATATTCTGCAATATATTTTCTAGTTTCTCTTATCCATGTATGAGATTAGGATATAGTGCTTTAATATGTATTCTATGTCATGACACTTTAATTATGATATTAGGTTATCTTTTATATTTATGTGTTTCAATTATATGTTTTTATATATGTTTAGAATATAGAGCTAATTAATTGGTAGAAATTTTATATACTATTACTTATAAATTCTAGATCAAAAGTTTGAAACAAATTAAGTAAAAAAGAAGAGGAAACATAAAAAAGTAGGAACCAGAGCAATAAGCAGAAGACTTAACTACATATATTGGTCAAAACATTTGACCAAAAAAAGGCAACACAATATCCCATTCTCGGAGAAAAAAAAAACATTTTCATCGTTGAGTGATGGTGGAAATGATTATTATCAAGATGATGATCCTCTTATGCCATAATTGGTGCAATCCTCGACTGTTTTCAATGATCATGTTTCGCTAGTGGCAGAGGAAAAATGTGTGGGTCAAGATGATGATCAAGAGGAAGAATTTGATGAAATGAAAACATTGGAAGAAGAAGTTCGAAATTATTTAACCGAGAGTGATAGTGATTAAGGTTGTCAAAATTGAGAGTTTAGGTAAAATCGTTTTGGTGAAGTAAAATCAGAATTGTAAAATCGAATCGGTAAAATCGAGAGTTTATTACATTAATTTGAAATTTATATATTACTAAAATTTAACATCAAATATTTAAATTTACAATTTGTCTAAGAAGTTTTATTACTAATTATTTATTTTAAATCTTTTTTGTACATTTTTCTATTTTATGGTTATTAAATTATTTTAAATTTTACTAATTTTGACCTCAAAAAAATATTATAATAAAACATTGTTACTTTAACATATAAAAAATTGATAAAATTTAAAATTTTTACTTGAAAACTCAAAAATGTCAAATTACAATGGGCAAGATTCAAACCAACCCCAACCAATCTATAAAGAGTCTTACATGCATGCACTACTCCACCAATGCACTAGTGGTGGTTGTTTGTAAGATGTTGACAAAAAAATTCATAAAACCTTTTACATTTGTACAATCTCAATTTTATCCGATTTTATGATTTTACTATGATTTTATCATTTTACTATCCTGAGTTTATGGAATTTCAATTTGGACTTCGATTTTACACGAATTGCATATGTATCTTACGATTTTACTTGCGATTTTGACAACCATGATAGTGACTATATATATCTTATTTGATTTTTTAAATTAATTGAACAAGGGATAAAAGACTTTTTATATTTTCTTTGTTATAAGTTAATAAATTATAGACT